CCAAATTTGTAACATTTGAAAGCTATGATAAATATTTCATAAATATTTTACTTAACATACATTTTCAGTACAGGAATATATTATGTACAAAATAAGTGTGCGCTTTTTTAAATGTCCAATCAAGAGAATAGTGAAAGGAAATCATTGCCAAAATTCTAAGAATTTAGAGCAATATACACCTTACAAATACTAGACCAACACATGATGACGGGTACTAAGATTGGTCTTTGGGCGTGTAAAACTTTAGGAAAAGTGAAGTTAATCTTTGTATTGAATGTTATCATTAACCCCGATGTCAAATGTCATTATCATCATCTATATCTCCATTGCAGAATTTTATATGATATAAATATTTTAAGTACGATTAATACCTTGATTACAATTAGAAAATTATGATAAAAAATTAAACAAAAATACATAATGAAAGATGTCAAGGAAACGTATGGCATCTAGAAAGAAAGAGCAAATATTTACAGCAACAGATAGGGTGAACCCAACAAATTGGTTTCGAATAAATATATTAGGTATGAAAATGATACTAAATACAGCAGAAATATAGGGTCAATAACGCTTAACCAGAAACTTTAACCGAATTGAAATTCTCTGGAAAGGGGTTATTTGCGCTGTTACTTCTACTGACTCTTGTGTTTGTACATGTTCTGCGTCTTCGTTTATTTGCTCTAACGTGTCATTTTTGTCAGTCCACCCTCTCTGCTTCTGTCGATTAAAAATATTGTTTATTATTATATCAGTAATGATTGGTTAAGCTCACTCAGCAAGGATAGCTCGAGAGAGAGAGACTAGAAGCAATACAGAAATATATTCCGCTTCATAAAGAGGTTAAGCAAGAATTACAAGAGCGTCAACAAACACAGGAAGAATTTACAGAATCCGCAAAGCAATTATTTAAACCTATCACAAAAACTACTGTCGGTATTCCTCCTGTGCTGAATAAGACCGCTGAGTTAACTGAGAAAATAGTGGAGCGAACAAATAAGACAAAAAGATCTATTAGAATATGAGGAGAAATTACTGAGATGTCAACCCTAGAAAAGCTTGAAGATACAGATGAAGCGGAAGGTGATACTCAACAAGAACCAAAGTCAGCAAGAGTCAGGGTTACTATATCTGATAAATTTAACGAAGATGTTATTAATTATATAAGACAAACCGAAAATATTAGGCAATTAGCTGCGGATGCCTTGAAAAGTTATAATGATCGAGGACAATTTTTTAAATTTGAATACGCTAATGATTTTGTAAGTCACGAAACTTGGTACAAATGGATATTTCACAAATACCATGATGCTGATCGAATTCGAATCGACGATCCAAGATACATATAATATACTAGAATGACATAAACTTGCTTCGCTTGTACAATTGCCACCAGAATAACTTTTAAATGTAATACAACAATTACAATAACAAGAGGAAATAAGAACTACAACAACGACTACAATAATAAGATATAGAACAACAACTACAAGAAGAATTATCACAAGAACAACAGCAGCCAAAATACAAAAAACGTTCATTATTGCCACTACCAACACAACGACTAGAAAAAACAAGAGGAATTAAAACAACTACTATCATCACCATTTGCAACTGGAAGTGGTCTTGCTACTTGTCCTAACAACGTCCTTGCCGACGTAGATAGATTAGAGATTTTAATTGGTGGATAATAAGCCGGTAATAATTCTCCAGAAATTATCAACGAAATCTCATCCATTTGTCAACGAATATTTACCGGTGGCATCGTGGATATTAACGTGAATCGGTCTCTCATCAATGAAATTACAGATGATTATTATAGCGACTGAAAGATTTCCAGACTAAGCCACTGATTGAACAGATAGACACAATTATTATATTAAATAATCATACATGTTGCTCAAGGTGGAACCTACTATGGTCAGAGTGGTAAAATTAAGACTACCACATTTGGACTTGTTTAGACAGTCTTTTGTTTTCATACATTTTTGAGCTCGTGTTAACAGAGATGATGGAGCTATTCGTAATTACAGAGCAATCGCATTAATATTATTCCGAAGAAAAAAAATTTGCTTGAAGGTTTTAGTGGTCGCATGAGAATCGTTGATGCTCCTGTAGAAAATATGCAAGCGCTGACCTAAGTCAGTACATTTAGAAGTCAGAAATATATCACAAATGTCATATTATCATGTTAGCGTCGGTCTGACACCGGGGTAAATTAAACGATTACAATCACGGTTAGCATCACGATGCGGAACAAAAATATCATTAAAACAAAAACAAGAACAAATGAGCTTGTGCAAATACATTATAATTGACCGAGCGTCAATTCATTATCATTGACCGAGCGTCAATTCATTATCATTGACCGAGCGTCAATTCAAGAGATTCGACGAAGCTTAACATGCCAATAAAGGAATACGATTAAATCTTTCCGTAGGTGCAATCAAAGATACTATTAAAATCGGAGGTATTTTTCCGCTTCTCGCAGCTGTCTTGGCATTAATAGCTGCAGCCGCTCCAGCTGTTGCAAAAGCTGTAACATTAGGTGCAGTTGGGACAGCAGCTGCAATGGCTCTGAAGAAAGCAACAGGAAAAGGATTTAAAAATTAAACGACCAGGTCACGATCTGAGACTTCCAGGATCTCCACCAAACAACATTTATTTAAAATGTTTAAGAATACCAGGAACTCACTGACTTTCCTGATGTCTAACTTTGATTTACTTCATGTTGCTAAGCTACTCAAATAAAAAATTTAAAGAGGTGTTTTATGCGTGATCAATTGCAAAAAAATCCAAATGATAGAAAACAGGTATTAATTATCTCGATCAAAAATCTGTTCGTAGAACTCACTAGGTTGTGTACGCGTTTATTTAAGTGGAATTATTTATCTCGATTCGTACGGACTGACATCACCAAAAGAGTTTTTAAAGTACATTGATACAGTACGAAGTACTGCACTTCAAAATGTTACAATCTGGTATTCAACATTACCAACACAAAAAATAACTGATCCACCAATATGTGGCCACGAAACAGTACTTGATTCTGTATCAAGATCAACAAAACCACTTCATTAAACTGTATACACATATACTATACATTAAATAATAGTTAATCATATAATGGTTGATATTGACGGAAGATCAGCTAAAACTCCTTGTATTTCAAAACCGTGAAGGAAATTGAAGACGAGTAATATTTCAAGCAGTGACATTATTATTCGTAAACGATTATCGCGAGAAGGTCTTATTGCTGTATATGACAGCGAAGACAAACGTGTTCTTAGTATTGTTACTTCGTCGTCGATCAGTGATAGGTTAATAAAATCGTGTGATAACATGAACGGTATCATTAACATGACTAACAATAAAATTATTAACAGGAGAAACAACAAATGATTTTGACGCTGCAACGGAGAAATATGTAGATAATAAGGAAACTCCTGTCACAACTTCGTTAGCTACAATCAATGATGGAATGACCACACTTAGAACTGATTTTACTATATAAAGCAAAAGTAAAGAAATATCGTAGACGTGCAACCGTGTTTGACATCATGGTTTATTAAGTTTCTAGGCTAGTTTCTAAAACCTGCGTAGTATTAGCATGGCTAGCGATGATGACAGCGCCAATAGTTGTAACAATCGTTTTATCGGCAATCGCGATCGCTGGAATATTTAATATAATCGCTAAAAAGATAAATACATGCACCAACGAAAAATTTAACAAGCACACAATAAAATTACATGCTGCAGCGACAGAATTCACTAAATTGTCATTATTGATTTCTTCGTGGCTTAATAATGGAATAATATCTGACGACGAAGTCAGTATTATAATAAATATCTACAATGAAGTATTCCAAAACAATGTTATGAATGAAAAAAATTACTGAACAGGATTTAAAATAATAGTAGTATAATAATGTCAACGTTTGATCAGCAATCATGGGAATTATTGAAACATATTGTCACTAATACTCTTCCTGTAAAAACCACAATGATATCATTAATTTCAACTAATCCTGAATTAGGCAATAATGTTCCAACTGCAACACTAACTTCCAATATAGCATTAGCACAATTATGAGTTTAGTATAGTTTGCCCAACATTAGGTCACAATCGTTTGGTGGACTTCAACCGAATAATTCATTAGTATTTGCAAATACAAACCGCAATGATAAAACTCCAGATTGGTAACTTGTCAGTATTTCAACGAGCAGTTATCAATTAGAAACGATCAATGAAGAATTCCAGCGCAGAATTAATTATTTACAGGAAAAGAATCAAAAATAGCTATTACTGTTCATGAACCAACACTGTCATCGTCTATTGAATTATCACCGGATTATGCTGTGGATAGTTATCAGAGTTCAATCAGATCAGAGTTAGGATTGAATGTAATTTTTTTGCCTGCTTATGTTGGACGGCCAGAACCAAAAGAATCCGATTTTATCACGAATGAAATATCATCAAAATTTCTTAATTACGAAAATTTTTATTCATTAAAACACATGCTTAAAAACACCGATCAGCGAACAAAAGGTCCCTGATCTAGAAAAACCGTTATTTAAATTTAAATAAATAACTACGGGTATAGATTCTTATTTCGATGGAACATTATTTAATGAATCATTGAATGAATTTAAACCTGAAGATAATAAATGGTCTGATGATTTTAAAAATTTATTCTTGTCATTTCTACATCAATATAACGATGATATAATAAACCAAATGATTGAAACAATACAGTATTTCAACATGATGATATTAAATCCATGGCTTATGTGATGTGATGTAATTATCATTTTTAACGTAGATTTTTAAAACAAATTCAGTCATATCGCTACTATCTGCAGTGTAGCAGTTTATAGTGATGTCTTGCACTGGTGCATAATGCTGCAGACATGTAGCATGATCCTGACACCAGGCCGACCGGTCCCAACACTAACCTCTTAATTCCGAACGTCAAGCGAGACAGCTAACAGCATCATTTGGCAGGACTCAGCCGGGGATCTAATCCACGACCTCCCGCATCCGAGGCGGACACTCTAACCACTAGGCCACGGGAGCGATATTATCTATGGATAATAAAGAATTTGTATCAGAAATAAGAAATTCAGACAGAATATTGCGACAAGTATTTTTCGATCATTATGCTACAACAGAAAGAGCTTTAGCGACATTTGTAATTTCAGGATTTAATGTTTCCCTGAGAAGAGACAGATCATTGATGTTATCACGAAATACTTTCTGATGATTTAAAAATAATGGAGAAAAGTATCACCACCACCAGGTATTATCACACACCACAACGGTCCACACGGCGAAGGCCGTTATGTCTCACCAGACATCGTCAACATCACATCAACGATGGTTGTGAATCTAGTGTGTGATGTTATTGACGGCAGTTATTAAGTTGGCACTGATAAATCTAACCAGGCTCAACAAGAATTTATTCTCTACTCATTTACCACTCAAGTCCCACCAAGTTATTTGATTGTATCAGAACCAATCAAAGTTGTTTATCTAAAATGTCATAGTCCACTCTTTTCACGGTTATATTTTAAACTTACTGACCAGTCTTGCCGCTTGCTAGATCATTGGTCAGAGTCGTTAAATACAATATGTATATAATCTCGTACAGTGTCATTGTAGTCCATGATTAGTGGAAAATACCAAGCAAAAAAATTGGAAGAATAAAAAGTCTTTTACTCGGTGATTTTATTATAATCAGAAATGAATTTTTACTCCGAGATTTTCTCAAAATCGCAAATGAATTATTTTGATACAACATTATTAATATCGCTGTCTTTGGTGTTTACCTAACCTTCTCGATAACCCGTGATAACATCACAAATAATTTCTTTTGCGTATCTGCGATTGCTGCCAGCGATTGTAACATCGCCTGCTGAATTAACTTTATGAATCTATACTCCAAGGGCAGCGTATATCTACTTACTGATTTTTTGAATTGTAATAATTCAAAATAACTAATTATTTTCTCAGAATCAAATTGTTCAAATATTTTCACGCCGCTGTGTTGTAATTGCATAATATCAGTAACAATTGATATCGTGTTTTGTAAATTCATTGTTTTTATCTTATAACTGTTTGTTTAACATAAATTCCAGAACGAAAAATGAATGCGTTTGAATAATTTGATTTAGAAAATCTGATTAAATTCTACAATTTTTTTGGGCATATTGTCAAATTCAGAAAGTCTGAATAAGTCACAATGTTGAGGGATATATTGCTTATCAAATTTATCTGATAAAATTTCATAAATTGTTAAATTTTATTATAATAAAATATATTATGAATCAGAATAAAATAAAAATACATTTTTTAATTAAAGAAAGAAAATCTGACTGAATTCGTATTTTTGACAGGTAATATACACATAAAATTTAGACAATCTGACTTAATTCGCAATATAGACTTGTAATAAGCCAATCAAATTCATAAAAGCTGATCAGAAACAATATTGTAAGGTAATATCCTCATCGAATAATTAAATTCTGACTGAATTTAATAAATTAAAAAATTTCATTATGATTAAAATATTTCTGAATTAGATTTATAATAAAAATATTTCTGAATCATAAAATATATTCTGAATCAGATTTATAATAAACATATTTATGAATCATAAAGTATATTCTGAATCAGATAAAAAATAAAAATATATTTTGTATCCGATTTATAATATAAAAAAAAATTCTGAATACAAATAAACAGCAGCAATGACATTTGGTTTATCATTCCATTCGAGTCCCTTCTCCCGGTACCCTCCAGTGATCACGAGCTCACATCACCCTGCTGTTTACTTAAGGGACACAGCACAGACACACAACCAGCGAATTCCTACTGCGTGATACGAAATATTAGAAATTCAGAGGGTTGTCTATGCATTGCGATTTCATGTACATCCCAAGTCAAACCCCGGGAAAGTGCAAAAACAGCACTAACCATGTTGTTCTCGTTGTGCCCCCACTATAATAGCATCTGTCACCGAATGCAATATAATAAATCTTTAGCATTTTTGGAGATTCAGCGTTTACATTAGTGGATCCGCATGCAAACGCCTTAACTCCACTGCTATCGGAGATCGTATAAATATATATCCAAATTTAAATATAACACTAATTCCACTGTCTCACACGTGATAATTCTGGACTCATATTTACTAATATATTTTGATTCTCAATAGAATCTGCAATTTTACACACTTCTACCGTTCCTGCTTTGTAAATACTATATTTTCAAGCCTCTTCATGCAGTCAAGGCAGAACTATCTAGCAATAAATGCATGGATCGATATTATTCTGGTATATTCCACCTACTGCAGAACTGTGTATAGTATAGTAACAACGATATATGTAGTTTGCTGCAATACATATGTGAACAATATCCGCCTATCATATAATATGACGGCTAAGGTTTTTATATTCTATTTGAGGATATATTTTCTGCAATTGATACTTTCACGTAGTTGAGATATATGGACTGGGGAAATATTTAAGAATTACGATTAGACTGCTCTATCACTGAATATAAATGTGTGGTTAAGTATAACGCAATAACAAAAAGGGAAGGAGACAACTGAGGATTTATTCCATCAGCGATGACAGATTTATCTCGCTTCATTGTATAGAGAGAAATGTGATATTTTTGTTAAATTTTTTCGAAATGCTAATTTGATAATATTATTTGCAACAAGTTGTATTGAATTCGGACGAATACCAAAATGTTTAGCAGTCGCATTCATAGAATTTAAAACTATCACTGAATTTGTCTCTGTATTTACGAATTTAACAGTTCTCTATAAAAAATATAATTCTATGTACAGTGTCGCTAGAAACACTAAAATATTTCTTAATTTGTTACTGACAAAAAATACTGCGGTGATTTTCTGCGGCGATCATGGTCAACCACCACCTTTCATTGGACAATCTCCGCACGAGTGGTTAAAAGCTTTGTGGACAATTATGGAGAAATATATAGAGCTATTGATTAACTACTTAAAAAATTAAAATATTAACTAGACTATAGCCAGATATAATACAAAGTGAGATAATGCATGAAATAATTCTGGAAACTCCTGCAAACGAGTTTTGGAATTTATGGAGACCAAATGATTAGAAAAATAGTTCACGATAAATTGCAAAAGAAATTATTTCCATTACATAAAAATTAAAATCTATATGTACCATAGTGCTATCTCACAGCAGATACTGGAGAAACAGAATATTGAAGTTGAGATTCCAGAAAGACATGAAAAAGAAAATCTTGTATTCAATGATAAAGTTTTGGCTGATGTTGGTGTTTGTGAAAGCGCGTTGAGTATGGATAAATCGCCGTGGAAATTGGGATATGCCATAACGATTCACTCTTCACAAGGACTAACTATTTTTATACAAATATTTGGATTGTCGATGATAGAATAAAATGGTCAAAATTAGTTTATCTCGCAGAGTTCCGAGTCAGAAGAATATCTACACATGGTTATTATGAATTTTACAGAGAATATAAATCAAACTGCTAATGACAACAACGAAGTTGTTGTTGGCGTAATAAGAACAACTATTTGGATATATGCAATGTGATAAAAAGATATTCGCAATTTGATATCAATGTTGAATTAATTACGACACTAAAAACGACAGAATAATCACTGTGCAAGTTGTAACTGCAATATGCTATGGGAATATACGAGTAATAATCCAAGACAGTTCATCAAAGACATAATTAATGATGATCATGGTCATACGAGTGATAATATCATATTGACATGTCTTGATAATGTGATGCTACCCTGTCTTGAATGTAATCGACGACCTGGCGCTGAATGCCCTGGCGCTGAATGCCCTGGCACTAGTTTATAAAAGTGAACGTGGTAGTAATTATGTATCTTTGTGTATTACTTGCAATTGTTCACGTACAAATCCACGTTGAGGAGCAGTAATGGTCTGTCATGATAGTCTACAGAGATAATTGTAATATTTTGGTTGTATTTAATAAAGTTAGTAATCATTACGCTGAAAAGTATTTAATAGATATGGTGTTCTGGGGACAAGGACATGAACAAATTAAAAAAAAATTATTTGCATATGCGCAAGCTATTCTCTTTGGCTTTATAACAATAAAAGTGCATCATCCCAGGTCAAGAATACGTAGCGATATTGATACAATATTTGGATAAAGACCACTGCAGCAGAGAGGTTGGAGTGACAAAAATGACACGCGCGAGCAAATGAACTAACACGCATATTTACAAACACAAGTGTGTAGAAACGTATCAGCGCAAATAACCCCAGTAGAGAGAATCTCAGTTCGGTTACAGGTTCTGGTTTAGCGTTATTTACTCTATATTTTTGCTTTATTTAATATGATTTCATTCTTAATATATTTGCTCAAAACCAATTTGTAGGGTTCACCCTCTCTACTGCTTTTAAAGAAGCACTTGGCACTTGGGCCTTTTGCCTTATAAAAAATCAATACTCTTATCAGTATGCTGTTACTAATAATTGAACTAAGTAAGACACCGATACAATGTCCAACTTAAGGACTTGTAGAAGGGAAATAACTCTGGGATGCAGAGTGCTCTGTTAATCTCCTTAGCTAAGCTCTGTCTAGTAATATAGAAATACTATCATTGTTGTTGTTTGTTTTTGGAATCGGTTAGTCTTGAGAGATGATGAAAATGCACCCATAAGAGATGTCAAAGTTGGTAGTTGTGCAGCGTCTTCTGTGGCTATGAAGCCCCACATGGGAGTGACAATACTTGCAATCCTTGCTGCACTTGAAGGTTGATTCTGGTGTGGGTTGGAGCTGCTTCCTCTTCCTTTTGAGATCGTTTTTCAACAGCAAGCAGTCATAGCTTGTCTTTGACGGCTTTCAGACCAGTGATCAAAGCATGTCGCCAGCTGGACTTGTCTTGAGCAAGTTATTCTCACTTTTTGACTTCGATATCAAGGGTTTTCATGTCTTGCTTGCAGACATCTTTGAAGCAAAAATGTGTCCATCCGATCGATTTTCTGCCACAGGCAGGCTTAGAATAAAAAAAAGTT